GTGATCTGCAGTTTGAGGGCTGTGGAGGAAAGGGAGGTTCTTGACATGCCACCCATGTTTAACAGTTGGACTTGATGATCTTAAAGATCTTTCCCAACCCAGTTGTTTCTATGTTAGAAGCACTTTTGTTCATGGTTTGTTTCCCCACACAGCTTGGCACTGGCCAACAACAGCACCCTGACAATTGGCACCATTGATGAGATCCAGAAGCTGCACATCCGCACGGTTCCCCTCTATGAATCACCCAGGTGAGCTGGGGCACGAGCCTGGCTTGAAGGTCCATGCTCTGCTGCGTGGGACAAGCTTGGGGGAACCCTTCATGGTCACTGTTCTTGTTGTGGGCTTGTGCTGAGAGCAGTCTGGGCAAGCAAACAGCTGTCTCCTGTCTCCAGAGCCTCTCTGCTCCCCTTGGAGTGGCCTCCACTCCTTGGCCTGGCTCTCATGCAGCTCTCTTTGTTCTGCAGGAAGATCTGCTACCAGGAGGTGTCACAGTGCTTTGGGGTGCTCTCGAGTCGTATCGAGGTGCAGGATGCCAGTGGAGGCACCACTGCCCTCAGACCCAGCGCCAGCACCCAGGTGAGGGGTAGCTGCAGATCATCCTGAGCTCTGACCGTAGCTCCTCAGGCCAAGACATGGTGCAGATCATCCTTGACAAGCTTCTCTTCCGAAGCTCTGAGTGCAGGTTCTCCCTTTGGCAGCCTGGAAGGAGATGGGGTGCTAAGAGATCTCTTGGTGGTGACAAGGGCCCTCTGGCAGCCCCACCATGCTCCCTGTTCTGTCTGATCACCTTTGGGTGCTGCTCCTGCAAGCTCCTGTTTGGTCCCGAGTGGTTTCCTTCTCCCAGGGATGCAGCACAAGTGGCCTTCAAGGCAGTAGCACTGGTGGAAGCCACCACACTGTGTAACCTCTTCTATGGATGCTGTTGCTCAGCTCACCTCCTGGTGCAGGGAGTGTGTCCCTTTACCTAGGCCCAGGGAGCTCCTTGTGTCACCTTCTGGTCCCTGGTTGCCTCAGCCCATGTGGAGCAACGTGAGGACATGGTGAGTAGCACAAGGCTGTGACTGGTTCTGTGTGTCCTAGGCCCTCTCCAGCAGTGTGAGCACCAGCAAGCTGTTCTCCAGCAGCACAGCACCACATGAGACATCCTTTGGAGAGGAGGTGGAGGTGCACAACCTGCTCATCATAGATCAGCACACCTTTGAAGCATGCAGTCCCAAATGTTGCCTGTCCCAGAGTGCAGTTTGCTCCTCTAGGAGAAGCCCATCAGTGTGTGGCTGAATCTGGGGGTGTGAAGATCCATGATCTTGCATGTTCCTTCAGTCAAAACATGTTTCGTGGAGGAATATCAGCCACAGGGTTTAAGAGATAGTGGGTTTTGATGGCACAAGGAGGTGGTGGGGAACAGGAGATGGGATCTACTTTGGACATGGCTTAAGTTTTCAGCTGCTCCACCTGGAGGTGCTGCCTGCCAGGAGCTGGGGGGACTGAGTTGTCTTCTGCCTTTCCCTCTTTGCACAGTGCTTCATGCTCACCAGTTCCTCCAGAACGAGTATGCCCTCAGCCTGGTCTCCTGCAAGCTTGGCAAGGACCCCAACACCTACTTCATCGTGGGCACTGCCATGGTGTACCCTGAGGAGGCAGAGCCCAAGCAGGGCCGCATCGTGGTCTTCCACTACTCTGATGGTAAGAGCAAGGTCTTCTCCTGTGGCCAAGTCCAGCTGCTTGAGATGAGAGCAGAGATGAGCTCCTTGGACCTCAAAGGTCTCATGTCCCAGCAGCAGGTAGAGTTCTACTGGAGGGTTCTGCTGCCAGCTGCCCACAGGCAGGGTCTGTAGGTGCTGTCACTGCTGCAGGTTATCACAGCAGGTTCCCTTTGCTCCCATCTTCTAGAGAAGCCCAGGAATCCTTTACCAGGATTCTGGGATTCCCTTTCTGTGTATCTGCCCCTGCTTTTGACTTGCCCACAGATCCTCAGAGGTTGTTTCTGGGAGGAACAATGTTTAGAGCAGCTCATGTGAATCCCCTTTCCTTGCCACCCTTCGGAATGCAGGGCAAATAACCAGGAAGGGCATGGGTTTATTCCAGGGAAGCTGCAGAGCCTGGCTGAGAAGGAGGTCAAGGGAGCTGTGTATTCCATGGTGGAATTCAATGGGAAGCTCTTAGCCAGCATCAACAGCACGGTAAGGCTCTTGCAAGACCCTGACTTGTTTTGGGAGCATGTTTGGATGTCAGCCAGCTCCTGATCCCTATGGAGGAGCTTCTCCTGCCTGGCGGGGGTGTCCCTGCTGGCTCAGAGCCACGTCCCTGCCTTCAGGTGCGCCTGTACGAGTGGACAGCAGAGAAGGAGCTGCGCACGGAGTGCAACCACTACAACAACATCATGGCTCTCTACCTGAAGACCAAAGGGGACTTCATCCTGGTGGGAGATCTGATGAGGTCTGTGCTGCTCCTCGCGTACAAGCCCATGGAAGGGAACTTTGAGGAGGTATGTATGAAGGAAGCTGGCTCAGCCCATCTTGCAACCCTTTGAAGGCAAAGGTCATGGAGACCTCAGAGCAGCTTCCAGTGGCTGAAGGGGGCTACAAGGATGCTGGAGAGGGACCTTCATCAGGGACTGGAGTGACAGGACAAGGGGTGATGGGTTCAAACTGAAACAGGGGAAGTTCAGGTTAGATACAAGGCAGAAGCTCTTCCCTGTGAGGGTGCTGAGGCGCTGGCACAGGGTGCCCAGAGAAGCTGTGGCTGCCCCATCCCTGGCAGTGTTCAAGGCCAGGTTGGACACAGGGGCTTGGAGCAACCTGCTCTAGTGGAAGGTGTCCCTGCCCGTGGCAGGGGTTGGAGCTGGAGGAGCTTTAATGTCCCTTCCAACACAAACCATGCCATGATCTAGGGCTATGCAATGAGAGCAGCATCCCTCAGACATGCTTTCACATGAATCCCTGTGGTTTCTGGAGAGATGGATCTTTGGACTTCCAGGGAACTGGGCAGTGCACCAGCAGCCTTGGGAAGAGCATGCTCTGGGTACATGCTTGCTGCCTGCCAGGGTGGGCAGCTGCCATCTGGAGTGCCTGTTGTCCAGTTGGAGCAGCTCGGTGTTTCTGTAGCTGCATCTCTGTCAGTGGGGGATGGAGCAGGCTCTTAGAGAGGCTTTGGGCTCTCTGGGTTTGCCATGGCAATGCTGTGGCACCATCTGAGCACCACATGGGCCATCTCCAGAAGGCACTTGGTGCCTTTCCCACTCCAGCAGAGAGGTCCAGCCTGCATCCTGGCTCTGAATGGTGGTGCTGGCTGAAACGAAGATGCTGGATGACAGGAAGGACCATCTGGGCTCACTGTGTCTCCTCTTCCAGATTGCCCGGGACTTCAATCCAAACTGGATGAGTGCTGTGGAGATCCTGGATGATGACAACTTCTTGGGAGCAGAGAATGCTTTCAACTTGTTTGTGTGCCAGAAGGACAGGTGAGCTGAAGGAAGAGGGTGATAGGACCTTCTGGTCTCCTCCACATCACGGCTAGAGGCAGGAGGAGCGTGTCCATCTCTGAGGAGTGAGGTGGGAGCAGGGGAGGATTTCATGTCACCCCAGCACAGACTAACAGGGTGCTTTGGCTTTCAGTGCGGCCACAACTGATGAGGAACGTCAGCACCTGCAGGAGGTGGGGTTGTCCCACCTGGGAGAGTTTGTCAATGTCTTCTGCCACGGATCTCTGGTCATGCAGAACCTGGGTGAGACCTCCACACCAACCCAGGGCTCGGTTCTCTTCGGCACAGTCAATGGCATGATTGGTAAGGGTCAAGGAGTCCCCTCCTGAGTGGAGAGCAGCAGGTCCCTTTGAACCTGGGCTGGGTTCCCTCACGTCTCCATTCTTCTCCATTCCCCACTCATAATCCCTCCAGAAAGCTGCTTTTCTCCCTGGATTGCTTCCAGAAGAGGAAAGTCCTCTGGGTCTCCTTGAAAACTTCCTTATCGCCCCTCTCCCAGCACAATTCCAGTCCCTGCAGCCTGCTGGGATGAGCCCTGAGCTTTCACCTCTGCTTTGCCCTGTGCAGGACTGGTGACCTCGCTGTCAGAGAGCTGGTACAACCTCCTCTTGGACATGCAGAACAGGCTGAATAAAGTCATCAAGAGCGTGGGCAAGATTGAGCATTCCTTATATCCTTCCACCATTCCCTCTGGAGCCTGTGGGGTGTTGCAGAGATTTCTCCCTGGTGGGATGCTCTGGTGGGGGAATGGGCATCAGCTGGAGAGGATGGAAGTGTGTTCACTAGGGCTTTGTGCTCACAGAGGAGGTGCTTGGGGGAGGGATGGGTCTATCTTGTGGGGTTTGAGGATGAATCTGGCTTTGTGGTGGCCCTGTGATCCTCCTGACGTGGCACTGCCAGTCTGGAGCATCTGCTGTGCTCACCACCAGGGTTGGGCTTGTTCCATATGGATTTGGCTCCTTGACTGTGGTACCTGGAGATCATTTCACACCGAGCGCAAGACAGAACCAGCCACTGGGTTCATTGACGGTGACCTGATTGAAAGCTTCCTGGACATCAGCAGGCCCAAGATGCAGGAGGTGGTGGCAAACTTGCAGGTGAGAGGGGTGATGTGGGCTTGGATCCTTCACAACCCCGTCCAGGAATCCAGGCTGTGCTAAATGAGGAGATCCCAACTGCTGCCTTCCCACAAGGCAACGAGCTGGGAATGTTCTTGAGCTCTTCCTGCTCTCTCCAAGCCCTGACACCTTCTCCTCTCCTTGCAGATTGATGATGGCAGTGGCATGAAGAGAGAGGCCACCGTAGACGACCTGATAAAGATCGTGGAGGAGCTGACCCGGATCCATTAGCAGGATTCGGGCTCATTCCCAACCACCTTCCTCCACGGAGAGCAAAGGAATCTTCCCCCCCTGCACCAAACACCAGCCGTGGTGGCCCAAGGGGACATGGGGGAAGGAGGCTCTGGAGGGGAACCAGCTTGTTTGGGGGGTGTTCCTCAGGCACCACGTCATCTCCTGCTTGGATTTAGGAATCCTGTGAACTCTGCTGACCCTGAACTGGTCGCTCTGGTTGGGCTGATGTGGTGCCCTTGCCTGGATTCACTCTTCACTCTTGTCTTTAGTATCTTCTTTCCTTCTTTCAGTTTTTGCTTTGGATTCTTACGGATTCATTGGGATTTCTTTGGAAGAGGAAGCGAAGCTGCCTCGGGGGCGAGGGCTGGAGGAGGCATCTGGGGTGGGTGAGACATGGAGCAGGAGGAGGAGGATTCCTCTCCATCCAAGTGCTGAAGCCGAGCAGGACGCTCCTCTCTCCACAGGATCTGTGGCTGACTCAGGGAGGGAAGTTCTGGGAAGCTCTGGGAAGCTCAAGCAGTTGGTGGTTTCTGAGTTTTACCAAATAAAGTAGTCCAAGAGGAAAGGTCTGGCTCCTGGCACCCGGCTCCTCATCCTCCCTGCAGGGGTGGCACCCGCTGTGTGGAGCCGGAGGGATTCCCCATTCCCCCTCCAGGGCATTGTTCCCTACATTGAGGCGTTATTCCATGCATTCCTGTCCTTGGAGCGGCACTTGGAAGCTTTTGGACCGTGGAAGCACCCATCCTGGCAGCAGCCACCAGTAGTGGAGTGGATGGGAATCGGAGCTCCTTCTCCAACAGCCTTTTCCTTGTGTTCAGCCCACATCCCTGTGGATCTGGGGGATCAGGATGTGATTTCAGCGCCTCATCCTCTATCGTCCCACTCTGGCTGCTCATTGCCTGTGTTCTTGCTCCTCATGACCCTGAGCTGAGCCTGACTGATGGAGACTCATCCTCTGCTCCACCACCTTCATCCCATGGGGAAGAAGGGGGCCAGACCCAGTTTTGCTGCTCCTGCCCTCCTCTTCCTCGCAGAGGGAACTCTTCATTAGGGACGGAATGTAGGGGTAGGACAAGGGGAGATGGGCTCAAACTGAAACGGGAAGTTCAGGTTGGAGATAAGGAAGTGGAAGGTGTCCCTGCTCGTGGCAGGGGTTGGAACTGGAGGAGCTTTAAGCTCCCTTCCCACACAAACCATTCCATGAGTGATTCCTCAGGTGCTATCCTGCACCCCCTATTTCTCTGTGGCCACTGGATCCCACCCGCTGTGTGATCCTCATCCAAAACCCTGCACGTCAAGATCCCCGTATCCCATCCTGGGCAGGTTTTCCCTAAGTCCCTTCCTCCA